TGCTATCACTATATCAGCCTGCAATCCTGCAAGCTCTGTGCCTGTGAGATTTCCCCTTCTTTGTTAATAGATGTCTCCTTTTCTTCATTGCTTTTGCTTCATTACTGTGAAGATGTGCATCACTTAATTGTCTATGACCAGCAAGTACCCCTTGGTCCCTACACTCATCAAACCCAGTCACTCAGGCTTACCTGCTGGCTCAGGCTCTTGGGCACATTGTTCACTTGCTTGTTGGCTTTCTAGTACATCATTGTTGTCACTGGTTGTATCTTTTCTTCTTGTATTTATCTGTTCTGTTTCACTGAGGTGCTCTGAGTGTTCGCTTTCAGGTGGGGTTGTACCTAAACCACGTTTTGATTCAGAGATATTTTGTTTGACTCTTGCATCAATCAGGGTCCAACAGGAAAATACAAACCTCTCTAAGGCTTTAAAGCAGAGGGAATTTGATCCAGGGGATTGGTTACACAGTTGATAGAAGCACTGAGGAGCCCAAGAGGAAGAACGCGGCAACTTGAAGAACAGTCTACAGGAAGCTATAAGAGCGACAAAGGGTGAGCTCATGTGCTGAGGTCACCAGGTAGGCAGAAGCAGGACCATGGCTGGCCTGCTTGGTGGGAGGTGGTGTCACGGGTGAGATGCATCCGCTGCCAGAATTGCTGCGTGAGGCAGCGGCAGGGAAATACTCGGCTTCTCCCTGAGTACTCCTGTCTTGCTAGCAGTGTCTCCCATGTTTGGAAGCCAGCAGGATGCCAGCAAGCAAAAGAGCTGGCAAGCAAGTCTGCAGGGGCCAGTGGTCAGAGATAGAAGGCAAAGCAGAGCAGGAAATGATAAGGAATGAATCTCTGTGTAAATCACCCAGGACCAGCACACCCCCTCCTCCATGGCAACCCCCTTTGCTCATTATCGATTCCACTGACCCATGCCGTCATTCCCACCATCCTCAATAGTGTATGAATGGACAGATATTTTCTCAGCGCATTTGGATTTTTTCATTTAGTGCTATTTTTCTAAGCATAACAATTTATGTAAAGTATGATTTAAAAATTAATTCCCCAAATTTTAATGTAGAATGTGGGCCCTAGTGTATGTTTTGTGCCACATTCAGTTTCTTGAAGCCTCCTCTTGGGGTAGTGGGCATGAGACACAGCCCTTCCCTCCCTTGTGCTTGTCAGTCAGCTCTTCCTATTGGGTCAGACTCTTGAACACACTTATTGGTGGATTGTTGTGCATCATTTGGGTTATAATGCTACTTATAATCCTCCTCTCATGTATCACACATATGCACATGCACACACACACACACACACACACACACACACACAAAACAACAATCAATGCTTTCAAAAACCACTCTGAAAGTTTTTCTTTATAAAAATAGGTTAGTTATTTAGAACACCCTTTCTTAAATAACACATCCTACTGTAAGCTAGATAATGAGGGCTTTCCATTAGTATCAAGTTCCAAGACTCTTCCATGTCACTCATTTCCAAAGAATATCATGTAATAAAGACATGACATTTATTATAGAGTAGTGTGAAATAAGGGTGGAGAACCTGTGGCCTTCAATTTACTTTCCTGGTCCTGAGATTGGTATTGCTTTTATCACTGTATTTCCAGAAAAATCTTAAAGTTTGCTGTAATGGTTAAAGTCTTAGATTCTGACTAAAGATACAAATAAGGATGATAATTAACTGTAGCAATAATAACAAATGCATGGAACACTGATGAAGTTCCAGGCATGATTCTGAGTGCTTTGCATGACATAACTTGTTTAAAAATCCATCACCCTGCTAAGTAGGTACTATCATCATATCCATTTTATAGATCATGAAACTGAGGGACAAAGAATGGCAGTCACTTCTCCAAGGTCACAGGGCACAATCTGAAGCCAGGCGGTTGGTCACCAGTCCTCCTGCTCTGACACGGCGTCACAGCACAGTTCAGGCCCTAGCCTCAGTGGGAGAATTTACACAAATAGCCAACTCTTTAAGTTGATTCTTTGTTATCTAAAAAATGTGGATGATAGACCATCATTTTAGGGTGTTTGAGATTAAATGAAATATAGCCTGTATAACTATAAGGGATATTGTGACTGATCAGAAAATTAACTCATTATAACTAATACCTTAAATTTTAAATATTTTAAATAATTTAATAACATTATTAAGTGTGTAATGGATTAAGGGAGAACAAAGGTTGTAAACATTGTTTTTTTCTGTTGCTTAACTACTAAAATATTTTTTCAGAGGCCAGTCTAGAGTTTGGCAAGCAGCTCCTGACCTGCTGCCCCAGGGATGAAGGGAGAGCGTCAGCTCAGGAGGCACATGGTGTCCATGGTCCTCTGAGAGGGACTGAATGCAGAGGGTATATTGACCCATAGGAACATGCTCATCACCTCTTCCCCTCCGCCACTCTCTCTGCAATGCTGGCCACCTTGGATGTCACTTCAGAGTACCAAGGTTGAGGCCAAATTCAAGCAAGACAGAGGCAGAAACTGTGAGGCCATGTGCAGGAGCAAAGGGACCCAGAGCCATCAGAAACTGGCAGCAAGTTTAAAAGTATGGAAGGAGCAAGCCTCTCAGGCAACCCAGAGTAGAAAGACTTTGTTGGAAAAATTACAGATACAAGACTGACAACGTGGGGCAATTATTATTGAAAAGAAGCAATGCTAACTCCACAGCACATTCTAGAATGGAACAAGAACTGCAAAGATCACAAAACAGTCAACAAGAACAGACCTACATAAGATAAGGGGCCTGCTCCTGATGAAGTCAGGCTTTCATGAGTTCCTAGGTTTTCTCCAGGTCCTAGGGAACAGAAATTAAAAGTTTATTTCAGAATGGAGGTACGGACTGTGCCATTCTCCTTTAATCTCATTTTAATCTTAATAATAAAGGAATTGAAGACCCTCTTCTGTACCAAAACAGTGTCAGTCTAGACCTAGAGGATCCCACATGACTCCTGCCATCAGCTGCACCCCTGGTCTCAGACAGGCCACCTCACTGTGTGTCCTCCAAGAGCCACTTGTTAACTGGTGATGACTTTTCTTATCGCCCACGGCCATAGCAAACCTGCCTTTGTCCCCAGAGCTGCCCTTGACAGTGGCCGTACCTTACTTCCTACAGAGTCCTGGTGCCTCGCCCCCCGCCCCTCACACCACACCCTCCCTCTGCATTCTGTTCACTCTCTCTTGCTGGCCTTTGCCTGAGGTTCAGTGTCTGATTCTCCTCCACTTCCTCCAGCTCCTGGAGTTCTCCTTTCTGTATCTCTCTCTGCAAATGTTTCCCTAATTTGGTCTCATGTTTCTGTCTTTTCCATGAGATTATCTGGGTGTATCCAGGGTTAAGGTCCATTCCTGCTCATTTGACCCACACACCTGGTCTCTCTGATTTCAGTTTCCTTGTCTGCAAAATGGGCACAATACTAACCCCTAATGGCCGTTTGAGCACTAAACCACAACTGCCAGAGTAAATATTCAATAAGCAAGTGCTTAATAATATGGTTAGTCTCATTATGGTGTTGGGTTTCTTTACCTCTTTTCCTTGTCTTTCATTTCCCCTCCTTCCTTTTCTCAAAATACCCACATCCTCGTCTCTACAGCTCTACCACTCCCTGTCTTCTTTCTCTAAATAACTGCCTTTCTCTTTAAATATTCCTGCTCTTGAACATCATCTCCCACATTTAAATCAGTCCCTTCATCTGTGATCATCAAGGGTCTCCACTTTGATATTGACCTTGGGCCCATAGTTCTTAGCCCTTCACAGTTTCGTACTGATCTTCTCCTAAGGGCCCTTGTAAATCACAATTACTTCCAGGTCATCATTCTCTTTAAATCTGGCTCCCTGACTGACACACTGGGTTCCTGTTCCTTTGACTTGATTATTTGGCCAATGGTCTCTTGTCAAAGCCCCTCCTCCAGGATCAGCCTCTGGTCACCCGTTCATACAAACACCCCTCCTGGCCTTCTCCATGCTCCTCAGTGTTTCATCCCTGGTCCCCAGTCTCCACTCAGGACTCAGGACCCCACCTCCCTTTCTGTTTTCCTCTTACCAGAAGATTCAGTATTTGTCTGGTGACAATTACCGTGTTGAAGGCCTAGTGGGATATTAGACCTCTCCCCAATTTGTTCTCCATTACTTGCTTGGTAACCAATTCTCTCTAGGAAAACTGAAAAGAGCGAGAGCGAAGGCAATTAGAAATCTCCATCAGAGACAAGGGAAAACATCTCAAATGTACTCATTTAGGAATTCCCAGCCCTCAGGTCACTCAGAGCTCAGTAGGTCCCAGTCCTCATGGTAGATATCCCCCTTCAGTCCTGGGACAGAAAAGAGAATTCCCAACAAGGGAGTCTTTCGATCTCCCACACAGAGGGAGGCCACTCAAATGTCGGGATAAAGGAATCGTGGAAATACTGTGAGCCAGTTATTCATGTAAAAAATTCAGATGGCCGGGAAATCACATATCAAAATAAATACTGGAATTGAAATGTGTTTTCTGTCCTGTTCAAACTCTAAGGAAGAAACAGAGGGGTTTCCTTGGTAAAAGGACTAGGGTCCTAGTGAGCTCCACGTGTATAAAAGAGGAAGCCCAACAGCTTTAACAATGGGGCTGGACAAGAGGAGGGTTGACTGAATTGGGTCAGGGAGGATGAGCGTTTCCTAAAGGGATGCCAGAGGTCAAACCAGAGGAACTAGACAGACTTCGGGGGGGGGGGGGGGGGGGGAGGATTCCAGGAATTAAGGAAGGACACTCCCTGAAGCTAAAAGCAGGAACATACATTGTAGTGCTGGGGGGACCTCCCAGAGATGCCTGGACCAGGGACCCAGGAAGCTGCCAGAGAAGACAGGCCAGGGCACTAGCCCAGGACCCCTGCATGTAGGTGGCCCAGCAATTGTAAGGAGTAAGGAAATAATCCAACAAGCCCAAGGGTTGGTACTAGGGGGTTAGTTCGGGGAGGAGGAAGCTAGGAATGTGGTGGGCCCAGGGCTGATTACAAGGGTACCTCCTGGGGGCAATAAACCTGTACTTATAAACCTATAAAACTGTAGGATCTCTTTAATGCCCAGTAAATAAACTTGAAATTCCTTAGCTTTAGATGCCAGGCCTTCCAAAATCTACTTCAAATGTATCCCTTTTAAATCACTCCCACAATCTGCTTCTCAGTTTCTGATTGAGAAAAATCTAATTGTCTTTGTTTTTCAGACATACTGGACCCTTTCACACATTATGCCTTTTTCCTTAGCATCTGTCCTCCTCAGTTCATATAATCATTTTTCTCAAGAATTCTCCTTCTTTACTTGGAGATCTTAGTTGATACAAAACTGTGTTGGAATAAAAAGTATTCTAAGCAAGTTCAAACAAAAATTATTATTGGAGGAACATCTTCTTTACTGAGTACCAATTAAAAAGTATAAAATCATGAGTCTCAGGAAAAACTGGTGAATCAAACCTGTAATTTTGTACAGTATCAAGAACAGTCTCATATAGAACAATTGATTTTTCTGATTATTTGATTAATGTTTGTTTCACCGCTTGTGGGGAAAGGGCTAATACAACCATTTCTCCTTCTTTAAGGGCAAATTGGACCAGGGATTAACTTTCTTGCTTATTACTCTGGACACCTGATAAAGGTGGCCTCTCTTTTGTGTTTCTAGGCCAACAAAGGGTTTAGGGTGAAAAGTAACCTGTGATTGTAGGTAGATAACATGAGTGTGGCCTGCGAGGGACTGTATGTGAACTATCAGCCATTTTTGGTCTTCCTTCAGTGTGGTGACTCTTGTAACGTGGCTGTCCCTCGTGGGGCTCCTGGAAGTTATAACTACAGAGTTGTTACATGAGACATTGACTCCCATGGGTATGTTGCTGCTAAGCCAGGGTGGATTCTGCACCCACAGCCAAGTTGTCACTCAAGGAAGATGGTAGTCAACTTGGTGGACTGCTGTGTGAATAGCAGCAAGGGGCCATACACAGGAAGAGCAACTGATGCTGCCTTACTGGGATGCGGTGTTTCCTGTCATTTGTCCTTCTAAGTAAATCTGATGCCACTGTGGGTCTGGTTGTTCTGTGAGCCTAAATGCCTAATTAAGCAGACCTCCAGGTGGGTGTTGTGCCAATAGTCCTTATACCACAAGCTTCAAGAAGGCTCATGATATGTCTGTTTTCTTAACTGCATAGCCCCATGTGAGGCAGATTGTAGAATCTCAATATGTACTTGTTGAAAAAATTGGCCCTGGATATATCAAAAGGTAGGGAATAAACTTAATTACCATTTTCGAAGCTTTTATAAATGGGACTTAAGTCAGGGTATTCCTGCATGTTGACCTTGCTGAACAATACTCCCAGGAGTGACAGGTCAAATGTCTTCTCCAGTTCACAGAGAACATTGTAAACCACTCTCTGTACAGGGACCAGGTTTCTGCAAGACTCTTGACAATCCTTAAAAAACATTGAATGGAGAAAATGTAAACATAGACTTTCAAGTTACACAAGAGCCCTAGGAAGTGATCTCTTAATGTATTACATTTTTCCTACATTGGTAACTTCTCATTTAATGTTTAGAATTTCTTTGTATTTGTATGGCTACTAAGTGAAATAAGTAAATTTCCCTCCTGAAAAAACAGTTTGTGGTGATCTCTTCACCCTTGTTTACAATTAGATGGAAGAAGGAGCAATTTTGAAGAATAAAGGTGGGTTCAAAGTTAAATGATGTGTGGCCCTCAAAAAGCCTAGCCAAATATTTTATGAATAAACTTAGCAAGTGATGAGCAGCTGTTCTATTGACTAGACAACCTTGTCCCTTCCCCAAGATTGATTTGGCTTGGAAGAGATCAAGGAAACCAGGTGACAATTCTTCCTTTTTGTGAACTTGGCCATAGAGAAAGCACATTCAAAGGGCAAAAACAGACTGACATCTCTGTATCTCCATTTATGTCTTTTGCTAAAATTAATCTAAATTCCAAGACACCAGAAATATCCAAAGAAAAGAAAAAGAAAAGGAAACTGAAAACTGTTGGAGGAAGAATGACAAACATCAACTTACAAATTTGTCCTAAGAAGATGTTAATTCTCTGTGGGTTTTATGTTCTCAGATCTAAGTGTTTAAATTGTTTGTTGAAATGAAATGTTGTGTCAATTATTATTTCATTAAATCAATTCATTACATTTATTCATCCATTCATTAAAACTACTTTAATTCCTAGTTTATGTTATATTGTGTGCATTCCTACGAGGCATTATATGCCTATGGAGCACACCCATGTCACATCCAGCCTATCTCCAATGCGATTCACCCCAACTCCAGTGGGCAGTGTGGAACACCATTGCTTCAATTAGGAGCAGGACTGTCTCCAATGATGCCTGCTTCTGCTCTTCCCTTTTACCTTAGAGGAACACTTACAGCAATACTTTAAAAGGTCCCCAATCACAGGAAGCTCTTCAGTCAGCTAGTTGTGCCCTGACACTTAATTCTAGTATATCAAACTTTGTTTGGGGCCCTTTTACCAGATTATGACATAATAAACTTCACTTACTTCATACATTTTGTTGGTGATGAGTTCATAGTCACGAAGAATATCAAGGAAAGGAAATGTCTTTCTTATTGCACCTGAAATCTCAGTCTTACATTTTTTGAAGTGATTGAATATAGTCTCACAGATAAACCTGTCGTCTGCATCCTGGTCTTCTGTGGACATCCTAGGGAGGAAGGATATTATGTGAAAATGGTCATCAAGATTCTGAGACACTTGTGGAGGCTGTAAGGCTCTACAGATAAAGGATAGGCTGTGAAGAACCAGCATATATAAAATAAGTGGTCCTGAGTAGACTAGAATAAATGAAATTGAAGCAATAAACCAAGGAGATGTAATTAAAGAAAGCATGGAGGATCAGAAAGGCTTAAACACAGGACTGAAAAGTGCATTCCAGTCTGTCCTTGTCAAAGCCATTATAAAGGTATCTTACCATAGTTGGAATACTTTTTTAAATAAAAAAATGTTAAATTCATACAAAATCAAAAAAGTAAACAGAGGAATGAAAAACGATGGAGTGAAAAAAATCTAACCTTGAAAATACTTAAATTAACAACTTAGAGAAAATAAAACTCAAAAAGATAAAAATGAGATGCCTCCTCTCTGACATAAAGCTGTTAAGGGAGATACCATCTTATATTATAAAACTACTTCATAAATGATAAGATGTGGTTTAATAACAGTGTAATAAGGTATAAGCTGAGAGTTTCACAAGAATACCAATTATTTCTCCTGGGACTCCTGCTTTGTGTTACTATAAATGTATGTGGTATTGTTGTATATAATCTTTTTAGCACCTGAATTTCAGAAATGGGTGCTGTTTCCTTTGAAAGTAATTGTAAACTTGAGTCTGTAATTCTAGTTCTTAGTTGGTCATTTCATTGCTCTAATAATAATATTTCGATCAACATTTTGTATTCCTAAAAGTTATAAAGATGTGTAAGCTTTCTTTTGTTCTACCAGAGAATTTCCAGTACTCAACATGCACTAATATTCTTAGAGAGATTTGAGAATGCATATTGTACCAGGATGAAAAAATAAAAGGTAACTAAAAGAGAAGGAGATAGTGGTTAGGTATTTTTTAAATTAACTTTTGGAAATTGATTAAAATGTTTGTAAAATGAAGTTGAGGAAATTTCCCAGAAAATTAAGTAAACCTGTCAAATTGGAAAACAAAAAGTAAATTTGAGAGAGAAAATATAAGAGGGTAAGGAATATAAGTGGTATAATAGCCACCAAATTGGTTGCAAGAAATCTGTGCAAGGGAAAAGCATAGGAAGAACATACCAAGAGAATTATTTAAGGTGATACCACAAAGTAGAAGGACATGAATTTTTTGAAAGTGCACAATTAAGTACTTATAAAAATGAATTTTAAATGAATCAAAGCAAGGCACATCATTTTGAAATGACATCTACAAAACAAAGAGAAGATTTTAAAAGCTTTCAGAAAGAATTAAAAAACTGGTAACTGAAGATGACAGAGTAGGTAAACAATGTGCTCATCTCCTCTCGGGACCATACCAATTACAATTAAACTACAGAACAGCCATCATTGAGAATCGCCTGAAGTCTAGCTGAACTGAAGTCCTACAACTATGGACATACACAAGAAGCCACCTACAGACTAGTAAGAGAGGTGAAGATTCAGAATGGGTTGGTTCCACACCCGCATGTGATGTGACCGTTAATAGTTGAGAGGGATATCTCGGTTGTGGAGGTCCTCCTCAGAGGAGCGAGGGGTCCCAACCCCACACCAGACTCCCCAGGTCAGGGTTCCAGTGCTGGGGAGAAAAGTCCCCATAACTTCTGCCTGTGAAAACCAGTGGAGATTGTGGCTGAGTGAGCTGGAGGGCAGCTGCAGTCCTAGGTGCTCCTCTTAAAGAGCCTGTGCAGGGCCGGCCGAGTGGCTCAGTTGGTTAAGAGCTCGCTCAAGAGTTTGAGCTCTGAGCAACAGCGGTTCGAGTCCAGCCCGAGCTGAGCAGCCGCTGAGCTGACAACAGGTAGCAGGATGGCTCAGCTAAAAACAAACAAAAACAAACAAACAAACAAAGAGCCTGTGCATGTACTTTTCGCTGATAGACTCACTTGCTCTGAGCTTCAGTGCTTGGCAGCAGCTTAAATGGTGCCAGGGGCTTATAGGGAGGAACTGAATTGTCTAGCTTCAAGATAAGGGATGGAATGGTAGCTTCCCCCCAGATGGAAGAGCTGGCAGAAACCGTCGTTTCTTTGTTGAGGCCCCCCACCTCCCTGCATGTAGACAAAGGCAGATGCCACATCTGAGTCTCCATCAACCTTGCTATTGCCTTTTGTCTGCCCCACCCTAGTGATTCCCTGAGACCCTGCCCTACACAACTTTTGGGCACACCCAAGCTACTTCCAGTGTCTTGACACTGCAACCTCTCTAAGTTCATGTTATGTACTTTCATAAAATCTCTCAAAGGTTCACAAAACCCAAAGAAGCAGCATCTGACTTTGGCATGTCCCGTACCTCTGAAAGAACAGTCCTAAGCCTGGCACTAGCGACATCCAGCCTTGGTTCACAGATTGGCCTCTTGAGGCACCTCCAAGCCCAGTGTGGGCAGCGGCCCTCTGAAGATTGCTATGTGGCTTATACCAGATGGCGCCGGGAAGGGCAAAGGCTGCAGCTAACTTGACCTGCAGCTGGTTCCCTCCCAGGAGGCTCCAGGGCTGGCACACCTGGTAACCAGCTTCAGACCAAGTCGGAACATCACCTGGCCACCTCCAAAAATGACACACCCAAAGAGCAGACTGAGAAGACACCAGAGCCATGCTAAAGAGAACCCTGCTCTGTAGGCTCATCCCATGAACCAGAGCTCCTCCACTGCAGTCAAGGCCAGTCCTCCCAATTAATCAGCCTGAGGATTAATCTTGCCTATTGATGTGCAAACAGCAACCAAAGCTCAACTACAACAGTAGGTCACACAAAACCCACACAAAGGGCACACCTGGAGTACCCAGCTCTAACGACCAGGGAGACTGCACCACTGGGTCCCACAGGACACCTACTATATAAAGCCACTCTACTAAGACTGGGAGGCATAATAGCTCTGCCTTATACATAGACACAAACACAGGGAGGCAGCCAAAATGGGGAGACAAAGAAACATGTCCCAAGTGAAAGAACAAAACAAAATTCCAGTAAAAGAACTAAACAAAATGGAGACAAGCAATCTACCAGATGCAGAGTTCAAAACACTGGTTTTAAGGGTGCTCAATGATCTCAGGGAGAACTTAAACAAAGAGGTAGAAAATATAAAAAAAGAGCTAGAAAACATAAAAAAGAGCCATTAAGAAATAAAGAATATAATAACTGAAATAAAGAATACATTAGATGGAATCAACAGTAGGTTAGACGAAGTAGAGGATTGAATCAGCAATTTAGAAGATAAGGTAGCAGAAAACACAATCAGAAAAGAAAAGAAAAGAATACAAAAAATGAGGATAGTTTCAGGGGCCTCTGAGACAACATCAAGCTTACCAAATTCTCATCATAGGATAATAAGAAGGAGAAAAAAGGAAGCAAGGGATCGAGAACGCATTTGAAGAAAAACTGATGGAAAACTTCCCTAATCTGGTGGAGGAAATAAACATATGAGCCCAGGAAATGAAGAGTCCTAAACAAAATGAATCCAAACAGGCCTACACCAAGACACATCATAATTAAAATGGCAAAGGTTAAAGACAAAGAGAGAATCCTAAAAGCAGCAAGAGAAAAACAGTTAGTTACCTACAAGGGAGCTCTCATAACTCTATCAGCTAATTTCTTAACAGAAACTTTGCAGTCCAGAAGGAAATGGCAGAAAATATTCAAAGTGATGGCAAACAAGGGTGTACAACCAAGACTACTTTACCTAGCAAGGCTATCATTTAACATCGAAGGAAAAATAAAGAGCTTCCCAGACAAGAAAAAACTAAAGGAATTCATTACTATCAAACCAGTATTACAAGAATTGTTAAAAGTACTTATTTAAGCAGAAGAAAGGAGAAAACAAAAAAACAGAGATAAAAAATATGAACAATAAAATGGCAATAACTATGTACCTATCAATAATCACTTTAAATGTAAATGGATTAAATGCTCCAACCAAAGACATAGGGTAGCAGAGTGGATAAGAAAAAGACTCATGCATACGTTGTCTATAAGAGACCCACCTCAGATTGAAACACACACACAGATTGAAATAAAGAGATGGAAAAAGATATTTCATGCAAATGGAAATGAGAAAAAGCTGGAGTAGCAATATTTGTATCATACAAAATAGACTTTAAAATGAAGACTATAATAAGAGACAAAGAAGGACATTACATTATAATAAAGGGATCAATCCAACAAAAAGGCATAACCATAGCAAATACCTATGCATCCAACATAGGAGCACCTAAATATATAAAACAAATATTGACAGACATAAAGGCAGAGGTCAACAGTACCACAATCATAGTAGGGGACATTAACACCCCACTGACACCAATGGACAGATCCTCTGGACAGAAAATTAATACAGAAACAGCAGCCTTAAATGACACATTAGACCACATGGATTTAATTGATATTTTTAGAGCATTTTACCCTAAAGCAGCAGAATATACATTCTTTTCAAGTGCACGTGGAACATTTTCCAAGATAGACCAAATGTTAGGCCATAAAACAAGTCTCAATAAATTTAAAAAGATTGAAATCATATTAAGCATCTTTTCTGACCACAGTGCTATGAAACTAGAAATCAATTAGAAGAAGAAATCCCGAAAGCACACAAATACATGGAGACTAAGTGGCATGCTACTAAATAATGAATGGGTCAACAATTAAATCAAGGAAGAAATCAAAAGATACTTTGAGACAATTGAAAATGAAAACCCAATGATCCAAAATCTATGGGACACAGCAAAAGTAATCCTAAGAGGGAAATTCATAGCAATGCAGGCCTACCTAAAGAAACAAGAAAAATGTCAAATCAACAGTCTGTTTTTACACCTAAGGGGACTGGCAAAAGAAAAGCAAACAGAGCCCAAAGTGAATACGAGGAAGAAAATAATAAAGATCAGAGCAGAAATAAACAAAATAGAGACTTTAAAAAACAATACACAAGATCAACAAAACCTCAAGAGCTAGTTTTTTGAAAAGATAAACAAAATTGACTCATCAAGAAAAAAAGAGAGGACCCAAATAAATAAAATCAGAAATGAAAGAGGAGAAGTGACAACTAACACCACACAAATAAAAAATTAAAAACAAAAATATTAAGAAAATACTATGAGCAAATATACACCAATAAATTGGACAATCTGGAAGAAATGTGTAAATTTCTAGAAGCATCTTCCAAGGATGAATCCAGAAACAACGAAAAATCTGAACAGATGATTACTACCCATGAAATTGAATCAGTAATAAGCTCCCAACAAACAGAAGTCCTGGGCCACATGGCTTCACAGGTGAATTTTACCAAACATTCAAGTAGGAATTAATGCTTATTCTCCTCAAACTATTCCAAAAAATCCAGGAGGAGGGAAGGCTCCCAAGCTCATTTTATGAGGCTACCATTACCCCGATTTCAAAAACAAACAAAGACATAACAAAAAAAAGGTAAAACAAACCAAAAAAACTATAGGCCAATATCCTTAATGAACATAGATGCAGAAATCCTCAACAAAATATTAGCAAACAGAATTCAGCAGCAATACATTAAAAAAATCATACACCATGTTCAAGTGGGTTTCATCCCCAGTACGCAGGGTTGGTTCAATATCCACAAATCAATTAACCTGATACACCACATAAACAAAACGAAAAATGAAAATCACATGGTCATATCAATAGATGCAGAAAAAGCATTTGACAAAATACAGCATCCGTTTATGATAAAAACTCTCAGCAAAATGGGAATACAGGGAACATATCTCAACATAATAATGGCCATATATGACAAATCCACAAATAATATCATACTCAATGGGAAAAAGCTAAAACCATTCCCCTTTAGATTAGTAACAAGGCATGGACACCCACTTCCAATACCACTTTTATTTAACATGGTATCGGAAGTTCTAGCCACAGCAATCAGAGAAGAAAAATAAATAAAAGGCATCCAAATGGGAAAAGAGAAAATAAAACTGTCATTATTTTCAGATGACATGATACTATATATAAAGAACGCAAAATATTCCATCAAAAAACTATTAGAACTGATAAATGAATTTAGTAAAGTAGCAGGATACTAAATTAATATTCAAAAATTGGTTGCATGTTTATACACCAATAACTATCAGAAAGAGAAATTGGGCCAGCCAAGTGGCTCAGTTGGTTAAGAGCATGAGCTCTGAGCAACAAGGTCACTGGTTTGATTCCCACATGGGCCGTGAGCTGAGCCTGAGCTGAGCTGCCACTGAGCTGCAAACAGGTGGCAGGATGGCTTAGCTGGTGAGAGCATGTGCTCCTAACAACAAGGTTGCCTGTTCAACTCCCGCATGTGATGGTGAGCTACATCCACCTGCAACTAAAATTGAACATGGCACTAATCAACTAAGTGATTGAACACAGATCAATCAACTAAGATTGAGCTGAGCGGCTGCGAGCTGCCGACAGATGGCTCAATGGTTAGAGCGTGTGTTCTTAGCAACAAGGTTTCCAGTTTGACTCCCACATGGGATGGTGGGCTATTCCCACCCACAACTAAGATTGAACATGGCACCTTGAGCTGAGTGGCTGTGAGCTGCCGAAGGACAACTGTCTTGGAGCTGAGCTAGCTGCATCCTCCACAGCTAAGATTTAAGGACAACAACTTGGCTGCTCCCCTCCCCTAATTCCCCAATAAAATCTTTTAAAAAAAAAGAAAGAAAGAAAGAAGGAAGGAAGGAAGGAAGGAAGGAAGGAAGGAAGGAAGGAAGGAAGGAAGGAAGGAAAGAAAGAAAGAAAGGAAGAGAAATTAAGAAAACAACCCCATTTACAGCAGTGGTTATAAAGCACAATGTGCCAAGCTGCTCTTACACCAGCAGCTGTCCTGCTCCAGTTTAAAAACCCAATTTTCTCATTACATTTTTCTAAATTTCATTACACTGCATGTGATTGTTCTTGTAAAGCAGGTCCAAAATTAAGGTTTAGATGAGTGTCTAATAACAGACCCTAAAACAGAAACATGGTCAGAGAGAAAATCAAAGGAAAAGAGAGAGACTGACCTGGTGCTGAGGCCCCTGTTCCCACTGGCCATCTTCCTGCCCTGGGCCCTGCCGAGGTTTCATCCCTTGAGTGTTTTCCCGCCTGGGTCCAGTGCGGTTGCCCAGCTCTGAACAGGAAGTCTGTGAACACACTACCCCAGAGAGGGCTCCAGCCACGTGGGGAAAAGAGAACTGAAAGTAACTTTCTGTGTGCTGTCAGATGCTGTCCCCCTCCTCCCCGGTGGTTCTGAGCCAATATGGCAGTCAGACTCTGGAGGCCAGGGGAGGAGGACCCCAGAGGAGGAGCACGGCCAGCTCCCAGGAGTCCATTTCTTTCTGCAAAGACACTGATGTCATCTGTGTGAATCCTGCTGTCCTCAGCTGCCCCCACCTTCTAAGAGGCGCTGAGTTTACAGAGTTTGCTGCCTGTGTTTCAACACAGGGCTGGAGGAGCACACGTACTCTAGAGCCATGGTTTCCACATTTTTTCCTCTGAATTCGACTTCCTCTGGCTGTGAGTAATGTTCTTCCCTGATTCCATTTAAAATGCAGGGGGAGGTTTTACCCTCTCTCCACTTCTGTTCTTTCTTTCCCCAAAAGGAGCAAATATCATTCTGGTTGGAAGAGATATCAGGACACTGATGAGGACACCTTCACAGGTGCACAGGGTGTCAGCATGTACCAGGTGCTGGATCTGTCCCCACGACACCCCCACCCCAACACACACACACACACACACACACATACACACACACACACACACACACACACACACGTTTTCCTCCCTGACTAGAGGTAGTAGAACTAGAAAGCTGAGATTCTGTTGGGCAAGGCTGTCCTCTGCTCCTGGCCTCCATGGGACATGTTGCCCAGACAAAGCCTGGCAGAGTCTACCCCTGTCTTTTCTGGTGTCTACTCTCTCTCTCGCCTGTCCCTGAGCAGCAGGCTGACCAGGCCACCATCATGCTGGGTGTTGGTATAAATGTCCCACTTTTTCCTGGGTCTGCTTAGAACACCAAGATCACCACCTGAATTAGAGGCTGATAGCAGCTGCTGGGTGGGGAACCCACAGGGGTCGGCCCTCGGGGTGGACACTCCAACCCTGGGGCTGCCCTGGCCAAGAAGGAGACACTCCTGTGGGGCCAGAGAAAGCTGGGCAGGCACCCCACTCTGCGAGAGCAGCGGGCTTCCCGAGGAACCAGGAGGCCTCTGCGGAGAAAGCCAAGTTTCCTTGATGCAGAAAAGAACATCAGACCCACGTGGGTAGGAACTGGACAGGACCATCTTCAGAAGCAGGTTGAACTCCTACCAAACCTGCTGGACTGATTTGCAGGAAATAGGGAGCACCTTGGGCATTTCCATGGCTATGAGCAGCACTGCACCAGGGACCACTTCTGTTGTCCAGGAAGTAGCCGGAGCTACTGGGCCTGGAGACCTGGGAAGCAGGAGAGGCAGCGATTGAGGAGGGACAAGGAGCGGAGGACGCACCAAGGGGACCAGCATCCTAAGCTTCAGCAGGAGGAGCCTCCGTTCAGACTTCACTAGTGGGGCCGAGTCCCCAACCTGGGAGGCCCTGTGGGGACAGAGGTTTGTTCTGAGACGAAGCAGCAGCATCCTGGACCTGGACCTGAGGATTCAAGGGCAGGAGGAAGCGGCAGCAGCAGCACTGACCACTGGGCCAGAGGATGAAACCCTCAGCCCCTGTGTGGGTGCAGAAATGGAGAGGGAGCGGGCGCCTGGGGCCTCAGGGGGACACTCAGGTCCTCACCAATGTCCCACTCCAAAAGTTGGCCCAGCAATCACTGCCTGGTCCCCCTGCCGCCTCCTTTCTTTTGGGGGAGGCTCTCAGATTGGGGGTACAGTGGAAGGGTGAGTCTGCTCCTTGTGGGCCTCCTGGGCTCATCCTGTCTGCAGAGGCCAGGGCTCTGTGCTCCTCCAAGCTCAAGTGCACAGGGATAGTGGCCTGTGCAGTGTGGGTGTGTGTGTGTGTGGTGGGTAGAACAGCCTGAGGCCTTGTGGTGAAGCCCAATTCTGGGGTTCAGGTTTAGAGATCCTTCTTTTGACACCCGTATATACCATGTCCCCTGATCCAGCTTTTACCAGAAAGAAAGCTGGTATTTTGAACTCCATCTGTCTTACGGTTTGCCTGTCTGTTGGTTTGGAAATCAGCTTGGGAGACTTGGGCTGGTTTATATGCTAATTTGGGGTTCTGCTGTATGACTTTCTTTTTTCTGGAATTACCCCCTTGCTCTCCAGAAAATCTGGTTGCCCTGACTTCTTGCCTGTCTCTGCGAACCAGGAAGGAAGTGGGCTTTCTGCCAAGATGGGGCCGCCCCCTGCAAGCCTGTGGCTCCTCGCTCAGCCAGGCAATAACAAGAAATGTCATGCTGGCTGCTGCTGACTTTCAATTTCCCTCCAAAGTGCCCCGCCTTTGTTTACTTCCCAGAAGCCTCAGGCAGCTGATCTCTGTATATTGTCCTCACAGGGATGTCTTCCCACCCAGTTTACTCAGAGAGCTGGAGAGCCCCTTGTCCCCTCCTCCCAGACAGACGGCGCTTCTCTCCAGCACAGCAGAGCAGGGTATGTGCTGACGTCCAGAGAAGCCACACTGGGAGGGTCGGGCTGAGGGGTCACTATCAAGAGTCCCAGAACCTCAGGAACGCCAGGTCCTCCCACAGCCCCCAGAGACACAGGCACATTCCCGCCAGGTAAGACCGGAGCCGGGCTCCCCAGCATCACAGCAGCCAGCACCTGTGTCCAGGTAAATGGGACTGGCAGACTGACAGGCTTAGTGGCCTTCTTTGCCCTGGGCTGTCTAGCGGGCGGGGTACACACCTTCCCTTCTAGCATGATGACCGACTTAGCCTTTATCTCCGCAGGACAGGGCAGAGGGAACACAGTCAACCTGCTCCATTAAGGAAACCCCTAGACTCTGAGACTCCTCTCTCCTGGGACTGCCCTATTCCCCCCATTAGTCAGCAGGGCCCACCCCTGGGGGTCCTCCAGGTGGGTGTCATCCATCAGTCATGTTTCCCTGGCCATCTAGCCTCCTCCGCGCTTCCCTAACAGCACCCAGTTTCTTTCAGTGGATGACTTCTCCCCTTTGTGCGCAGGAGGGGAGGGACGGTTGATCACTAGCCCTTGAACAAGCCAGGCCCGCCGGACTTCTCTGGGAAGTGGGACTCTGAGGGAAGTTCATTAAAGTTGGAAAACATTTGTTTGCAGCAGTCCTTAACAAGATGGCCGAGCTGCTCCTGGAGCTCAATTCCTGCTGATTCTGGGCTGCTGCCGGCTCAGTGCCCAGCCTTCCTGCCCTTTCTGCCAGCCACTGTGCATTCTCCTCCATGAAGTGATAAAGGTGGTATCGTCGCTAGCAAAGAGCCCTAATTGATGCAAGGAAGTTGGTGTGTACATTTTCTCAGTACTTTCAGGGCCGAGCACTTTCTAAGTGTGTAATAAATTTTAACACATTAATCCTCACAACGATCCAGTGAGCTATGCACTGCTAGCATCTCAATTTTACAGATGACACTAGTGCGTGGGGAGGGTAAGTCGCTTTGCCAAAGACACACAGTCAGCATGCGAAGGAGCTGGGTCTCCGCCCACACAGACCAACTGCAGAGCCTGTTTCCTATACGCGAGGCTTTGCTGCCTCTTAGTACACATTAGCATTGTTTACAATATCAAGAATAACCAATAACAGCCAACTGCAGTCAAAGCTTGATGAAAAATAAACGCTATGATACAAATGATATAGCACTATATTTATTGACTTGTAACAGTGCCCATTATATTCCATTAAGTGGATAACATTGATGAGGAACTCATTTCATTAATAACATGGTAAACAATGCCCCCCACCCCAACCCTCGACACATACCTTACAAAGCCTAGAATAATTGTCATCAAATTGTCAACCATGGTTATTCTTTTTACTGGTGAGGCCTGCCAAGCATTGTGCTTCTTAGTGGTAGGATATGCGAAGTACAATAACTTGCAGCTCGGAGGGACTATCCTGATACGCTCCAGAACATTGAACCCCTAAAAACTTACTACATGGCATGTCTCTGAATCTTTGTAAGGTTTACCGCTCACCATTTACAGTGCTTATGACATGACAATCAGGACACTCAACACTCCCTGCTCATCAGGTCCAACTAACATACAATCGATGTGATGGTTAATTTTCTGTGTTATCTTGACTGGGCCACGGGGTGCACAGACTAAACATTATTTCTGGCTGTGTCTTTGAGGATGTTTCCGAATGAGATTAGCATTTGAATCGGTGGACTCAGCAAAGCAGATGGCACTCCCGAAAGTGGGTGGGCACCATCCATCTGTAAGAGTCTGAATAGAACAAAAAGTGGAGGAAGGGAAATGCAATCTCTTCCTGTCTGCCTACTTGAGCTGGGACATGGGTGTCCTCCTGCTCTTGGGGTGCTCTTGCGCCTTCGGACTTGGAGTAGTTATATCTCAACTTTACTTGGTCTCCAGCTTGCAGATGGCATAATGTGAGATTTCTCAACCTCAATAATCACACAAGCTAATTCCACATCATAAATTCATATATATTCATATATGAATAAGAGCTTCTTCGCATCCTACTTCTCACTTTCTACTGGATATTTTTAAAGTACATTTTCCATATTAATAGTTACATTGCACACACCATAGACCATGCTAATCTGCTCTAATGAAGATACCACACCTAGCACCACAGCTGCCATTGGGACCGCTATTGGTTAAGTTTCTGGCAGTCAGTGGGTAGTCACGAACCACCTAGCTTTTACAGAGGCCAGACTGCAGAATCAAATAGAGGTGTAATGAGGAAAACAACTGCTGCATCCTTTAAGTCTTTGCAGGTGGCACTAATCTCTGTCATTCCCTGGGAATATGATATTGCTTTCGATTTTCTGTGTTCACCATGGGAAACTTTAGTTTCAGGGCCCTACACAGGGTTTTTCTTAAGACAGTCATTGTTAATTCATAGAGCACTCATATATCATAGGTTAAAGAGCCAGCTCAGCCAACTGCTGTGAGTGTCCTGATTACACCTTCTGGACCTGGGGAAATGACTATTGGGTGGCTCTGTGCATTGAATGTACCCATTGTGAAGTAGACATTACCGGACCTCGACATGCTCTGCTCTACCAGGGACCAGGATGGTGCTTTAGATTCCCAGAGTAGCATCAAATCAGGTGTTGTATTCAACCACCTTTGAAAGATCTGTTTCCCTTTCTTTGAAATATTACTTAAATTAATGGCCACTGGTCCTCTTGGTGAAGAACTGAGGGAATCTCTACATGTATACTTGCAGAGTCCTTTCTTAAGAGACCTGCCCACATTTCCATCAGCAGGTTCAGGGTCCAAGAATTGGCTCAGGTCTTAAAACTGGGCAAGGGATCTGGACTTTTCTCTGGAGTAGCTGAAATAATACCTCTGATCATGTATTTTTAATCTCTTCTGATGATATTATGAAGCAATGTCTTTGTTGGCTGCCCATCTGTCTTGCCTATGAGAACACCATGTTCTATCAGCTATCTCTCCAGAGATCTCTATGGGCCAGGCCTCTGGCTGTCATTCTAATGTTGCTGTCCATTACAGAAATCACTTCATCTTGCTCTGACAGTTAAGGCTGCACCTGCTTTTGTTATCCTGGAATCCTCTCATCTCATTGCTAGTAGAATCCAGTTCTGTAACCATTCCTACATTCCAAACCACAGAAGACAGCCCCTACATTCCAAACCACAGAAGACAGCCCCTACTGAGAACCTCAAGGATGCTGGTGCCCCCTCAGCAGTGTGCTTCTTTCACCTTGTTTAGTTAGTGTCTGTGAGTCCTTCTGAGGACATCGTCATCTGAAGAATGGGTTCTCCAGCTGTAGAGAGTAGAGCCATGCCATCTTCCTGAGGCCTTTGGGTACCCTTTGTCCGTAGTCTGCCCTGGCAGGTCTCTACTCCACTTCATCTAGTGGGCACCATGGCTTATAGCAAATATCTGAGCGTCACCCAGGAACATATTAGAATCATCAACTTGGCCTTTGCCAGGCTAATTAAACTCTGTGGCACAGAAGGGTGCTCTTGTATTGATATTTCTCTCTATCCAGTTTCATATTCTGCAATTCATCATCCAGGATCTACTCCCAGACACAATCTCCTTGCACCTGCTGGTACATGGTGGCCAGTCCTGCAGCTCCCCTGGAGGAGAAACCCTCTCCTCACCCAGCAGCTCCACCCAGGACTTGCCCATTGGGTCATGCTGAGAGGACTCTGCATAGTCTTCATTCAAGAAAGATGGTGGGGAGGGGAGGGGACTGCTTTCTAATAAGGGGCAGCAGACCCTTCTTGCAGGCCCAGGAGGTACAGGGGGACCTGGAGTTCAGAGTTCTCAGGTGCATCTCCCCACAACGCCCCGTTCTGAATTTCAAGGCTTCGCTCTTCCTCTATCAGGGCCCTGGCTTTGGAATAAGAGGGTCCCCTGAGCTTAGAATTCAGTCTTCTCTGAAGTTCTGCATTCTTAAAATTAGGATCTGTGAAGGCCTTCCTTACTGTCTGCCTTCCAGCTGCGGGTATGAGAGTCCCTTTGCTTTAGATGGTGACTAATAGACTTAAGCCTGTCATTTACTCTTTTCAGCACATTTGTGGCACTGGGCAATAGTGACCCAAATCCACTGTTCTTATAGTTACAATCTTTCCTCTTGTAAGTGCCAGTGACTTGTACCAGCTAGTGTACCTCTTCCCCTATATTTCATCCAGTTTCCTACAGGTAAGAGTTTGGGCAATGGCACTGCTATAGCACCCTTGGGATATCAATATTTCGCCTGTCACCATTTGGCTCAACAGTGATCCAACTCCAGAACCCCGTCCTTCAGGCTGGCTTGCTACGACAATTACCTTAATTTGGGTTCCCAAGAAGCAGAGCCTGAGATGAAATCTCCTAAGTAAGTGATTTATTGTGATTATCTCAAGAGGTGAGGGGAGAAGGGAGCAGGATAGCATGGTGGGAAAGCTAAGCAAGGATGTGGTCAAGCTGCAGACTAGCTCCAGTCTGACCCCAGTGGAGAGCGCAGGAGTGTGAGTCTTTATCAGTCATTGGCTCCACGCTGGGACTTGGGGCTGGACCTCAGGACAAGGAGGGGTACCCTCCAGGTGAAGGAGGCTCCATTTGGTACAATGCAATACTCTGGGGGGAGGTGGCATCAGCAGGAAACTCTCACAGCAGCTGGGAGGGGAGAATTCTGCCCAAAAAGGGGATTTCCAGAGTACCGACAGCATTCACTACACCAGTGAACTGTTCTCATTTGCATCCTGAATAGCAAACACTTCCTTGAAATGCTTCTCAAATTCTGCCTCCAGTCTAATTCCCATTAGGCCAAAGTCCTTGTACTGAAAAAAAAAAAATGACAAAAGTGATGACACTCATTATCAGTGTTTAGACACATTGAAATCATGAATGATTACTTTAAACACCTAACTTATATTAACCAGGTCAACATTAAAAATTCATGCAGCTTAGAGTAACTTCAGTTACCTAGGTGCATAGTTACTTCTTATTAACTAGACAAATGAGAAATTATAACCATACTTACGGACTCTTACTCACTGGTTTGGGGTTGTTTATTTTAGGGGGAGTTAGAAAGGTAATCTATGTCCTTGGTAACAATCAAATAGTACAGTGTCTAAGTACAACCAGTGATCTTCCTCTCACATTGTCACTTCTATTCCCCTCTGGTGACTCCTGTTAACTATACGTTTCATTCACGCACAAAGGATTCTGGAGTTTGGGATTTCTGAGGAGTTGGAGTGAGTATAATTGGGGAGAGATGAGAAGCATAGTATGACTTTAGGACACAATTCTCTTCTCCTTACATTGGGAGCAGGCAGGACATGACTGTTCTCAACAGGCATCTGTCACCTTTTCTAAGGGAATGACCTCTAGGGACCTGGGGTTCTGGTTGCAGGGACACCTTCTGACTCAGTGTTACTCTTCATGATGAGCTTAAATCCTGAGTTTAAAAAGTCACTTATTTAATCAAACGTACACTAAAATGCCTAACTGAGAAAACTGAGTGATATTTATTTTACTCTCAAAAATAACTTAGTATAAAGTATGCTAAAACAAATGTATTGGGAACGATTCTTATCATGTGATTAACCAACTAGGTGTGACTCCTTTGACTCCAAACAAATATTAAGCTGATTTAAAAAAAAAAAAAGTAACTCACTTCTATAACTTGCTTGTACAGACTTTTATAAGATGAGGGAAGCTAAAGTTTTCCAGCACCAGGAAATGAAGGCAGAATGACTCAGTGGAAAGAAAATGAAATGGGAGCGGGGAGAGGCACTTACCTTGTAAGATGCCCTGTGGTTCTGAAAGATGAGGCGCATGTCCCGCACAAACCCCTCCACCTGGGGGTAACCCCGTTTATTTAGCCTCTTGGTGATTTTGTTCAACCACATGGATTCCTTTATGTTTTGAGAAGCCTTTTCATCCTGATGGGGAAAAATAAAGTGTATCAATGGGAGAATTACTGGCATAGTTCAATGTCTGCCTCCTGTGGATTCCTATAAAATCTAGCAGAAATACAAGGTAAAGACAACAGCTGCTCATCCATTCATTCCCACGGGCTTCAGATCACAAATCCTACAGTGCCCGTCTCAAGATCAGGTAACATCATGGTGGTCTGTAATCATGGTGTGTTGTCATTACTTACATAATAATAGTACGGAATCTTCGCAAAAAATGAGCTTTCTGAATGGCTATAGACTTTCAAGAGGAGGAACTCACATTTCTGCAAAATAAGAAGACTGTGAATGAAACGCAGCTTGGAGAGAATAGCCCATATGCATGTCCAGGCTAGGCATGAGGACACCAGTCTGCCAAAGGCTTCCCCAAACAGTTATCTAGGAACCAGTTATGTAATGACTGAGTCACTTTTTTCTGCAAACAAGTTGTAGTTTCAGTGTGATTAAAACATGGCTCAAAAGCGTAGGCTTGCTTTGGGCCCTCCCTTTCCCCCGAGACTGACTTCCCATATGTGAGCACAAAAGACAAGGCTTGGGGTTCGAATCTGACTCACCAGCTGCTCCACAGGCCCCATCTGCCTCTCCAGGACCTCAGCTTCCCTGTGGCGCTCCGAACTTCCTGAACACTCCTTCATCCTGCAGAAGGTGCAACTCCACGGGCTCCTGAGAGGTGGGGCGTAAGTGAGCACAGGGCAAGGCCTCTGGAAATAGCCACCATTTCTACGGCTGCCACTGTCCTCCTTTCAGGAATGGCCAACAGGCACAGCCAGGGGAAGAAGGGGACATTTTCCACAGTCTTCAAGGCCCCCACGTGGGGTCTGGGCCAATGACCCATCCCCCATTGAGGGTAGCATCTGGGCGTAGGTGGGTGAGGAGTGGTGTCAGGTGAGTAGTGGGCTTTTCTTTCCCCACCTGAGCTCCGGGGAGCACAAGGAGGCCTGGCTGACAAGTCTGAGTGCTTGAAACTAGGCCTTAACCCTCAGGGGCCTTGGGCCTTAATCGACCTGTTGAGAATTTGGCAAAATGAGGGAACCAGGCCACGTGTCTTGCCTTTTCTGAATAAGCACAGAACATAAACTGCTGGGAACAGGATTCCTTGCTGGAATAATTCTAGGAAAGGACAGTGGCAGCATGTATGTAAAAGACCCCACCACTGGCCTCAGCCTTCCAGAGGAGAGTAAAGAACGTTACCCTCCTGCTGCCAGGGTCCTTAAACAGCTTCTCAGGTCACACTGCTCTATCCCATACCTATGGCCCTGCTCTTTCCCCATCAGGACACATTTAGGACCTCTGCAGGGGGACTGTGCCTGGCAGGAGGAAGGATCCCTAATAAGGGAGGAGCGGACCGCATCTCACAAACCTCTCAGTTTCCACAGGTGGGAGGTGACAGTCCTCATGAAAGGATCTCGAACATGTGTCACAGCAGAAGAGCTTTCCTCCATCCAGGCAGATCTCACATAGATCTGAGTTTCCCGCCTAGAAGGTAAAACAATGTCCATATCCCCAGTGAGAACCTGAAGACCAGCACGGTGGGAATCTAGAACTCACAGCCTTTGTTTTAATCTGCGTGCACACTAATGTGCTTCTCCCTGGGCTGTTAAGGGAAAGCATGGAGTGGAGATGTCAGAAGAAGAATTGTGGTCTGCAGTGAAGTTTAGGAGGACGGCTCTGTGTGACAGACCAGAAGAGCTGTCCCTATAAACCCAGAGATTCTAACACAGAAAGCCTGGCAACAAAATAAGAGGAAGACTTCATAGGAATGTGAATAATTTTATTGTCTTACAAATAAAACAAAGTCCTGAAATAGTGTTAAGTGCATTGGCCTACACCACAAAATGACTCATGGGAAGTGTGGTATATTGAGAATTAAATAAGAATGAATGAACTTCTTAGTATGAGAAGTAATAAAAGATGAAAAAACACTAATTAACACAATTATTTTCAATCTTTTTCTGGGCTTTTGGGTGAAGCTACTTGTGTTGGATGAATTGGGATTCTGGCCATTTCTTCAGTTTTTAAAAATTGCCATATATTAGAAAATGCTAGCCCCAAATCACCTCTTGCCAAGAGCTCTTATTCAGTGTTCTGGGGGCTCCTGAAGCACATCCCCAATGGGGACAGAGTGCTCTAGCATGGAGGCATGGGGCCATTTTTCTTCTCCTCACTGAGGGGACTCACAGATTACTATCATCACTCTCCAAAAGTGATAACCACTCTCCCCAGAACAAGGAAGTAACAAATGTAACCAATGTTTAAGAATCTCACATACATAATCTTTTTAACAGACTTCTCTTCCTGGTTCTTTGCTCAGATGCATGTTGAATCATCCAAGGAGAGTGTATAAAATATTAATGTCCTGATCCCAACACTAGGGATTCTGAATCAATTGGTCTAGGTGGGGCACAGACACTGGTGTTCTTCTTTGAGTCATAAAATGGGTAATTTTGTGTATCAGAATCATCTGGGGACTTTTAAACAATCCTAATGTCCAGGTCATAGCGCATATTGATGAAATCAGAATTTCCTCAATAAAGATCAGAGCAAAAATAACAAAATAGAGTCTAAAAAGCAATAAAAAAGATCGAAACCAAGAGCTGGCTCTTTGAAAAGATAAACAAAATTGATAAACTTTTAACCAGACTCATCAATAAAGAAAGAGAGAGGCCCTAAATAAATAAAATCAGAATGAAAGAGAAGTGACCACTTACACTGCAGAAATAAAAAAGATTATAAGTATTACAATTACATGTCAACAAATTGGACAATTGGGAAGAAATGGATAAATTCATAGAATCATATAATCTCTAAGACTGTATCAAGAAGAAATAAAATATCTAAATAGGCCAATTGCTACTAATGAAATTGACTCAATAATCAAAAAATTCCCAACAAACAAATGTCCAGAACCTGATGGCTTCACAGGTGAATTTTGCCAAACATTCAAATAAGAATTAACATCTATCCTGCTCAAACTATTCTAAAAATTTCAAGAGCAGGGAAGGCTCCTAAGCTCATTTTACAAAGCCACCATTACTCTGATTCTAAAACCAGACAAAGACATTACCAAAAAGGAAAATTATAGGCTGATATCACTAATGAACACAGATGTAAAAATCCTCAACACACTGTTAGCCAACCAAATTCATCAATGCATTAAAAAGATCATATATCATGATCAAGTGAAATTTATTCTTGGGATACAAGATTGGTTCAATATCCACAAGTCAATTGACATGATACACCACATAAACAAAATGAAGGATAAAAATCATGATTATATCAATAGAGGCAGAAAAAGAATTTGAGAAAATCTAGCATCCATTTATGATAGAGTAAAAGAACTCCCAGCAAAGTGGGAATAGAGGAAACATACCTCAACATAATAAAAGTAACATATGACAAAGCCACAGCTAACATCATACTCATGGAGGGAAGCTAAAAGCATTTTTCTAAACATCACGCACAAGACAAGGATGTCCACTTTCACCACTTTTATTCAACATAGTAGTGGAAGTTCTAGTCACAGAAATTAGACAAGAAAAAGAAATAAATTCTCCCAAATTGGAAAGGAAGAAATAAAACTGTCATTATTTGCAGATGACATGATATTATATATAGAGAACCCCAAAGACTCCACCAAAATAAAACTACTAGAACTGATAAAGGAATTCAGTAAAGTAGCAGGATACAAAATTAATACTTTAGAAATCAGTAGCACTTTTATACACCAATAACAAACTATCAGAAGGAGAAATTAAGAAAACGATCTAATTTATAATTGCATAAAAAAATAACCCTAGGAATAAATTTAATTGAGGTGGTGAAAGACCTATACTCAGAAAGTTACAATACATTGAAGAAAGAAATTGAAGAAGATACAAATAAATGGAAGCATATACTGTGCTCATGGATAGGAAGAATTAGCATTGCTAAAATGTCCATACTACCCAAAGCAATTGATAGATTCAATGCAAATCCTATCAAAACACCAATGGTGTTTTTCACAGAGCTAGAACAAATAATCCTAAAATGTATATGGAATGACAAAAGACCTTGAATAGCCACAGCAGTCTTGAGAAAGAAGAGCAAAGTTGAAGGCGTCATGCTACCTGATATCAAGCTACACTGCAAGGCTATAGTAATCAAAACAGCATGGTACTGGCATAAAAACAACACATAGATCAATGGAACAGAAACAAATCCACACCTATATGGTCAATAAATGTAAGACAAAGGAGGCCAGAATATACAATGGGGTAAAGACAGTTTGTTTAATAAATATTGTTGGGAAAACTGGACAGATATATGTAAAAAAAAAATTAAACCAGACCACCTTCTTACACCATATACAAGAATAAAATCAAAATAGATTAAAGACTTAAATGTAAGATCCGAAATGAAACTCTTAGATAGGCAGTAAAACTTCTTACATAGACAGTAAACTTTCCAACATTGCTCTTAGAAATACATTTTCTAATATATCTCCTTGGGCAAGGGAAACAAAAGGAAAAACAAACAAATGAGACTACATTAAACTAAAAACTTTTTGCACAGCAAAGGAAACCATCAACAAAACAAAGACAACCTAGTAAATCAGAGAAGACATTCACCAATGATACATCCAATAAAAGGGAAATATTCAACATATATATATATATATATATATATATATATTACTCATGCAACTCAACACCAAAAAATACTAACAATCCAACTACAAAATGGGCAGAGGACCTGAATAGATATTTCTCCAAAGAGGACATACAGATGGCCAACAGACTAATGAAAAGATGTTCAATATCAGTAATCATCAGAGAAATGTGAATTAAAGCCACAATAAGATATCACTTCACACCTGTCAGAATGGCCATATCATCAATAAATCAACAAACAACAAGTGTTGATGAGAATGTGGAGAAAAGGGAATCCTTATGCACTGTTGGTGGGATTGTAAATTGGTGCAGCCACTATGGAAAACAGTATGAAGGTTTCCCAAAAAATTAAAAATAGAACTACCTTATGACCTAGTGATTCCACTTCTGAATATACCCACTTCTGGGTATGTCCAAAAATGCCCAAAACAGTAACTTAAAAAGACATATGCACCCCTATGTTCATTGCAGCATTATTTATAATAGACAAGATATGGAAGCAACCTAAGTGCCCATCAATAGACGACTGGATAAAGAAGTGGTATATATGGGCCGGCCCAGTGGTGCGTTGGTTGAGTTGGCTTGGGCGCCAGCTCTGAGCAGCAGGGCCCCGGTTCGGATCACACATGAGGGCCAGTGATGCTGCGCCCTCCGCAGCTAGGATGGTGAATGGCAGCTTGACCTGGGGCTGGGCTGCCGTAGGCCACTGTGAGCAGCCGTGAGCGGCCATCCAGTGGCCGGCGAGCTACTGCCTCACCCGGGAAGAGCACAATGATAATACCAACATGGGCCAGTGAAGTGACATTCTCCACAACTAGACTGAGGAACAAAAGGACAGCAACTTGTCTGTTTCCCTTCCCCCAATTCCCCAACGCTGTTCCCCTTCCCCGATTCCCCAACGTTGTTCTCCCCCCCCCCAATTCCCCAATAAAACCTTAAAAAAAAAGTGGTATTTATATATATATATAAATACCTTAAAGCTTAAAGTCCTTAAAGCAGGCAGCCATTTGGTATCAGTCTGAGTAAAAATGCCTGTGATTTGCTGAGTGATGATGATTTCAGTCCTAAACAGCTCAGCGCCCTGATGGCCCCCTCGAGGTTGGATGCAGGGCCTCTGTAAGGGACCCACATGCCCTGAGGACATTTCTCTGCAGGAGTCATGGCAGTCTACATCTTGAACTTGCCAGCTTCGCCGGGCCTGTTCCTTCCAGCTGATGACTGACACCATGTTAGCTCTGCCTGCACCTTGGAGTGGATGTTTGGGGTTTTTGTGTCCTTCCCTACTGCCTTCTTTAATATGCTGCTATCCTCTCAGGTTTGCACCTTACTCCTAATCTGCAGGCCAGCCCCACTCACTACCACCTCAAGTCCCAGCTCTAGAGACCTCAGTGGTCCAGAGTTCTGCTTCCCACACAAATGAGGAAAAGGAAGGGTTCCTCTGAACCAATGGAAATGATGCTTTCATACCAAGACACCCAACCCAGAACCATCTACCTGGCATGGGTGATGCGTGTGCGGTTCCCTCTTCATCACACACAGACACATGCTCTGACTGAGTGTGAGCATGCTTCAGAAAATGGAGACAATGACATAGATAATATACTGAGGGAAAAGGCCTGCCTTATTCTGGGGTGTCTGGTGGGAGTTAATACTTACACAAGGGTCTACTGAAGTATTGTCATGAGACTTCGGTATTCTCTGCTGAGAAGAGAGAAAGACTGAGTTACAATATTGAATGTGATGTTTGTTTCTATCTCTAATTTAAACAGCCATCTTCTGAGGGAGTCAAACCACAGTCTGTCCACTATTTCATGGACCTATATACTTACGAGGAGAATTAAAAGTGCTAAAGTACTACTATCTGGCCCAATGTAGCTGCATTCCCTGGCTCTCAGACCCAAGGTGGGCCTTTGTGAAGCCATGCAGGGAGCCTGGCCCTGGTTACCACAGATGGAGTTGGAGACACTCCTCTGGTTCTCCTATCGAGGGACCCTCAGGCATTCTTCCCTATATTAGGAAGTGTCATCCCACCGGAGGAGCTGCAATGAGAGCATCAGGACGAGGATTCATCACCAACAGCCTTCAGCGAGCCTAGAATCCAGGAATCCATACAAGTGTCCCAGAGAAGAATTCGACCACCTTCTGCAGCTCTTCAGGGCATAGCCTTAAAGATAAAATGTGCTCAAGGATCCCAGTGCTGCAGCTCTTCTTCTAGAAGTTCACTCTCTTCTCTCCATTTGAATCCCAAAAGGTCAGCTAAGTGATTTTTCAGGGGTAACTGACTACCACCCTCTAGATTTACATTGCTTATACATATTCAGTAGAATGACTTGGCAACTTTCTCTGCTGGAAGTAAACAGCCTCAACTTTTATCTCCAGCCCAGGCAGAGAGGGCATAGACAAGTATGACCCACTGGACAATGGCCTGAGAGGTAGTCATGTCACTGTCTACCTCTTTTTATGACTGAGAATTCCCCGAGCCATACATATTAGTTATTCTTCCATATTAGACAACGAAGTTGAAATAATTCTTGAGGTCAAGGATATTGTTTCAATCTTCTTTAATGGCCGTAGGGCCTTTAGTACGTGCTTGATAATTATATATTGAACAAGTGAATAAATGAGTATTCTTTCACTTAGGAAAAGAAATTACATGTTATCTCTTAGGCAAATATTAGCACACAATAAATGATTGTTCTGGAGGAGTATATGATTTTACAACACAGCAGGCTGTCATCAAAAGATATATTAGTGGCCCTTGTCAGGAGCCAGGAAACTGTCGTGTGGTGCTGAGAGTCACATTGAAGTTTCCAGAAGTCAAGGGGCTCCATTAGCAAGAGAGATCTTGAGAGACACGGAAGACCCACAGAGGTAATAGTGGGTCTTGGGTTTTGACATTTTGGAGAGATTCTGTGTTTGATCAAGGAGACCCAAAATATAGAGGCAACTGCAGCTTAGAAAAATGTTGGACCCATAAAGGAGGGTAGAGCCTGGTGATATGCAGTTGCCAGCTCACGTAGGTAGTCTAACTGAGTAACCCTTGAACCTGGGAATGGTAGAGACGCTGATCTTTAACATATGCGCTAAATAGGTCTAATAATAGTTTCCCTTTAGGAAATTCAGCGGATGAAATGTCCCAAGTACTAACAGTTCAAACCATCCAGGGCATCAGATGACGTAAATGCCTGGATCTCACATTCCCAGTGGACAATGAAGTCCCCGTGGCCAGCTATGTGTGACCTATTGTAGGAGCCTGTGACTGTCACCGATGGCCATTGCTACCCGAACTATATAAGAATACCATTTCTTACCTTCCTCTCTGTCTCAAGCTCTCACTCATACCCAATCTTGGAAAAGCCATCGCCTTGTCCTGAAGCTACCCTGCACTGTATGTATTTGTTTGTTGGCTTCATAGCCTTCTTCCATAGAGGGAGAAATCACTTTCACAGATCGCAAGAAAAGGCTAAACAGCCCCTCTGCTGGAGCTAAAAAGATGGCATCAAAGTAAACAATTTTCCAAGTCAGGCTCTCCTGTATACACTGATATCCCAAACGCTTCCTCTCCCACAGCACCATCCTCATGAAGGGCAAAAGCATTCTGTGTGTCTCTGTGTACATTTTATTGGAAGGTGGAAGAGGATTTAAAAAAATACGCTTTTTGTTGCACATCTCATAAAATAGTATACTGTTTTATATATGTCCCAAAATAGACTATCTACTAGAACAGGGTCATCTGGATAATGGCGAGCAAACATTTGAACTATCAGATTTCAATACAATTAGAAAATAATAACCTTGATGAAAAAAATCTGGGTTTTATTTGAAGCTGTTGCTATGACTCTATTATGAAATGTCTTTATGTATTCCATAATCATGTTTGCTTTTACAGCTTTGACATCCTTACAACGTTTGCATCAATAGCTAAAATTCATCTGTGAGATGTATTATGATGGTTCCTTATCATCTCCATCTTGGTTTACTATTCAAAGATGACTTTGTATACAACAGAATGTTCAAAGTAGCAACTCTGAAGCCATATGCAAAAAAAAAAAGAGGATACCTAATTATAATTATCCAATTGAGAAACCATAAAATAACATGTTGTACATGTAAAATCAGTTATGTGATGAGAACTTGAAGAAAGTTATATAATAATTACCTTTTTTCTCCTACTATATATTCTTGGAGGATTATATAGAAATCCTTTCTGAAAAATAAAAGACCCAAGTATATGGTTAGCCTATGTTTCTGTGTTGTAAGTCTGACATTTCCAACCTCCTCTCAAATATTCTACTTTGATGTCCTACTATCAGATGAAAGGCAAGGTGTCTAAATAAGGATCCATCTCCCTTTCCTCACCTGTACTTCTAGAATTCATCAATGGTACCCAGAAAATCATCTTTAGAACCTTTTTCCTTGCTCTTATGTTTTTTTCTCTATGTTGTGAGAGGTTTTCTTTCACAATCTCTTTGATACCTCTCACCTCCTTTCCATTCCCCAGTGTCACTCAAGCTTGCACCTACACACAAGGTCTAGTAAATCAACACACACATGCACACGCGCGCGCGCGCGCGCGCGCACACACACACACACACACACACACACACACATCCCATAACCATACGGTGTCAAACACTCTGGACTATCTTGGGCACACAAAGATGGACAAACCCTGGAGGGAGAGGGGTCTAGAGAGAAAAAGAGAAAGCATGGAAAGAGAAGTATATAACAGTCTGGAACAACCTTAATAGTGGGTTCAGAGAGTCTGGGAAGCGATGCCCAGGGCAGGTCAGTCAGGGAATAGTCAGAGAGGGGTGACATCTGAGCTAAGCATTGTACATTGAGTATAGATTTATTGGGCTGAAAGACACATCATTTCACACCTCAAGGGACTGCACTGGTTCTGTATTATCTACTTTATGAGTTTAAATTTCTTAGCCTGGTATTAAATCCCTCTACAAACCACCTCAAGTAATAGATTATGCCATATCACACACAATCCTCCGAACTCAACCCACACAGCAACATTAGTCTGGTTTTGGTTTTCATGCCATCTTTCTCTGGAGTGTCTTCTTCCCACTTGTTTGACTCTAGACTGTCTTCTTTCTTTCATGCCTTGTACTGAGGTGTGAGTGTGGGGCACCTGTCCCCAGTGAGAGGGTAAACTTAGGAGCTTCATGGCTTCAGCTAGAACTCAACCAGTATTTAGTGAGTAAAAATAGAGACCTTATCTTAGAGTGCCACAAAGAAACTCACACCTCCCGCCCGCTGCCACTGGAATACCTCCATCAGCCATTCTAGGGGCCTCCCACCACAGCGCACACTTTGCTTCCACTTCTTTGATGTTGCACGGCCTCCTTTGACTTCAAATTCCCTAGGGGTGAACCAATTTCCATCCTCACTCTGTATACACTTTTTGATGGTACCTGTAAGATCAGGATAAGGTGATTCTGAAACCTCTGTCCTCAGAGCTCAGACAGTAGCCTCCCACCGCACTGGATCTGGAGTCGCCCAGTGTGGGCTCAGGATCAACAGCAGGAGAGTAGGGCCTCCCCTTTCAGACTTAGAATCCCCAAACCCAGCCTGTAAGTCCCCTCAAAGGAGATGTCTGCTTTGTGTGCACATTTTTTTTATCTTTGTGCAACAAAAAAGTGATTATTTTTATCAAATTCAACTTTATAAACATATTCCAAAATCATCTTCAAAGGCTAAGCAAATGATTCTGAAGGATGAGAGAGTTTCAGTTTGCTGAGGACAGAGAACAGTCCAGACTCTCTGATGGCCCTGGGGCAATGTGGAGGCAGAGCTGCAGCTGGACTGCGATCTCAAGTGGGGGCCCCGTAGCTCAGAAGGGCACCCTGGTGACATCTGTGCCATCTATTACAACATTTTTCATCTAGTTTAATGACATTATTTTTTCTCTCTTTTCATGTTGGACAGGTAATGTGCCAATGTCGAATGTAACAAGGTTTGAGGGAGTCACATCACATAAGAGAGTGAACACCCAAGCATCATAGTTATGAACTACAAAAGGATCATTGTTTGAAATTATTGAGCAGGGATTTTTATATCCTTGGATTCATGGAAAGCCAATATTAAAAATAATTGTGAAATGTTATTCAGTGGCAATTTGAAATTATATATAAAAGATCATTATATGTTAGATATATTAGTTATTAGAAATGCAAATCAAAACCGCAATGAGATATCACTTCACACCTATTAGAATGGCCACAATTTAAAGCATCAGACAATAAGTGTTGGCAAGGAGAGAGAAATTGGAGCCCTCATACATTGCTGGTGAGAACACAAAAGAGTGCAGCCACTGTGGAAAATATTTTGATGTTTTCTCAATAAGCTAAACATAAAATTACTATATGTACCAGCAATTCCACTCTTGGATATATACCCAAAAGAATTGAAAACATGTGTTCACACAAAAACTGCACACAAATGTCCAAAACAGCATTCATTACTCATAATCCCAAAGAGTAGAAATAACCCAAACTGGTGAATGGAAAAACAAAACATGGTATATCCATACCATGGAGTATTACATCATTTGACAGTAAAAAGGAATGCAGTACTAATACATACTCTTACATGGATAAAGCTTGAAAACATCGTGCTAAGTGAAAGAACCAATCATGAAAGGGCACAGTATATGATTTAATTTATATATAATACCTAGAATAGGCCAATTTGCAGAGCAGAAAATAGATTAGTGGTTGCTTAGGGATGGGGGGTAGAGTGAGGTGCGAATGGGCATTGACTATTAATAGACACAGGGTTTCCTTTACTGGGGAACAAAAATGTTCTAAAATCAGATTGTGAATTCTAAAATTCACAATCCTGTGAATACAAAAACAAAACTCAACATTTAATCGTAGACTCTAAGTGGTGAATTGTATGATATGTGAATTATATCTCAATAAAAGAATTTAAATTTTATACATACAATTAAGTAAATTAATTCCTTACAGCTACAACATGAGGCAAATTTTAATTATTATCTCTTTTTTAAATGGTAAATTTCAGGCTCAACAAGGTCCCCTTCTCTACATAGATGAATTAGCCACTGTTGGCATAGCTAGGCTGGGACTCAGGTTTTCTGATTCTAACTTCTGTGGTCTTTTCACTGCACCAAGCATCCTGTCTGGTGATTACCCAGAGAGAGGAAGGATATGAAGATGGAGGCTAAGGGCCTCTCTCCTTTCATTTTTTATTCATCTCTCTTTAGTTCTTTGGGCATTTCCATGGACACTTCCATATGGTAGTAAGCACCTAAGGTGTGTGATTTCTTAATGTGTGAAAATATCATCTTAGGGGTCCCTTCTTCCTTCTCAAGCCAAAATGCTACCCCACTTCCTTAGATGATGTGTAATTCACATGGATAATTCCATTTCCTCTTGTAATTCCTTCACATAAGGGTTGCAAAGCCGACCATGAAACTCACCTTGTTTCAATACCCTCTTATATAACATTCCCTTCAGCTCACCACAGGTCACAGGAAGTATTTGAGAGCGAAAATTCACACTTTCTTTGACGTACTTTCTAGGCCCTGAAAGAGAAGATTTCTTCATTCTGTCTCATTCTGCAATTGCACGTGTCCCCCTCCTCCCATGTTGAGGTTGTTCCTATAAAGACGCAGGGGTGCTTAGGAAACTTGACTCCACAAATCTCTAGAGTCAAAGTCTTCCAAGTGGCATGTTCTTATACATAGCTACAGTGTCTACCTCTACCCTCAAATTTCACACAAAAGAGAATGCTTTGGCAGAAAAATCAGGCTTCAATAAAACTCCCAATCCAGTCAGCCCCACTGATTCACACATGACAAGGAAACATACAGTTGCTATCGTGTTCTGAAGGGAGCTCTCCACCTGTGCTATTATGCTGCAGCTGGGTAGCTGGAGACAAAGTTAGAGACTGTACTTGTATCTCCCTATTTGAGCTCTGACTGAGCGAGCAGAGAGAGGGGTAACCTAATAGAGATGGTATCCGCCTGCTGTTTGTGTTCTCTGCTTTGCTTTATTTCTCCCTCATATCAGCTTTCTCCATCAAATCAGCTGTGACAGGATCGCAGAAAACTCTAGAAAGTCTGCAAATTTTGTGGGGGGAGGGCAGCTGGAGACCTTATTACACGGAAGTAGGGATGAAAGATCTTCAAATGAACTAACTCTGTGAGGATGTGAAGCTGATGCTGTCCTTCCAGGAGGCATTTTAGAGCCCTGATGGGAGGAGTGGACCTGTCTGTCGTGCTGATGCTCGTTTCGAGATACGTAGCCTTTCAGAACTGGTATGGACTCAGAAGGATGTTTGGCCTAATTCACTCTCTTGCTTTACAGATGAGAAAACTGAGGCAAAAGTGGTCCAGTGACTGACCCAAACCGACACATTCAAAAGAGAGAAAGATACAGGCTTCTGATCACCACTGTGGACCATTTGTGATGTGCAACCTGTGACTCTCTGTGTAGCAAGAGAAGAGTCAACTAAATAATTTTTGGTTTATAAGTACCTTTTATATGGCAACAGGCTATTTCCAGTTTGAAAGTTATTGGTTCAGTGGGGACAGCATCACTGCAGTGGCCCCTGGACCCTTTGGGTCTGGTTTAGATCAGTCATCAAGCTACTGTTTTGTGGAATTATCTTTTTTCTGTCCCTGACACATTTTGAAAATAGACCAAATCATACGCATTCTGAACAGTTAGTAACGCTACATAAAACAATTAGGTAAATGGGTCTATTAGCTAAACACACAGACTAGAGCACAGGAAATTAGTTGTTTATTTATTGAAAGTACATTCCTCTTTTCTTTATTGCCTCTGGACTGGACTCTTTTTCGGGGCTTTGTCACTATGAGTTAAATGGATTCTAGATCTGCCTCTCTTTTTTCCTGACATAGTAGAAAAATATAATTACAGTCACAGACATGCAGTTACATTGCATATATTAGTGCTTTTCAAAATTTCCATTTAAATGTAACTTCCCCAAAGTCTGTCTAATGCATAAAGAAAAACATTTAATCCCTAGTCTTTAAACTACCAAGAATTAAATGGCTAATCTTAGGCTTATCTTCTATTTTATTTTTCACAACCCCATATTAGTAAAACAAACAATTGAAATCAGCTTTTCAATTATACCTCAAGCAGCCATGTATCAAGTGCTTAACAGATGCCAATTGTAATCAATTAATTTATTTACTCTTTCTAACAAATATAGAGATCAAGATAATGATAACTCCCATTACAGAAACTAAAATACTCAGAAGGGGCAGCCAGTTCGCTCAGGTGGTTGGAGCGCAGGCTCTTAACACCAAGGTTGCTGGTTCAATTCACACATGGGCCAGTGAGTTGCACCCTCCATAACTAGAGTGAAAGACAATGGTTTGACATGGAGCTGAGCTGCCAGCGGACCACTGGTTGACTCAGTTGGTTAGAGCACGGTGCTCGTAACACCAAGGTTGCCAGTTCGATTCCCACATATGCCAGTGAGCTGCACCCTCCACAACTATTATATATTGAAGACAACGACTTGTCTTGGAGCTCAGCTGTGCCCTCCACAACTAGATTGAAAACAGTGAATTGACTTGGAGCTGATAGGCCCTGGAAAAAACACACTGTTCCCCAATAAAGTTTATATATATATATATATATATATATATATATATATATATATATATTCAGGAAAAAAATGAGACAAAAGCTACAAAATTAAGTGAAGATATTTCAGAGAATTTTTTGGAGAAATAGAAAAAAATAGAAGTTCTATGTATTAAGGAAAACCCTATGGGGGGCTTACAGGTGAGAAACAGGTTATGCACATCACCTTGAATAACGTTATTTGTAAATTTGTGCAGAAAGTGATGTAAAAGTGAAGTAAATGTGACCAAGGGCTTTCTCCACCTTGGTTTAGACAAAGATATTACAATCTAAGAAACTACCAGAAAAAAGGCTGAGGCAGAGTAATGGGTAGAATTGAGTCCTCCAAAACATTAGTTTCAAATAGTAACTAAAGATTGAGTTGGTAGATGTGTCAACAGAGAATGTGCCTCTATTTGTAAGTTAATTGGCTATAAATGTGCATCTCAATGTTTGCTGTCATTCAGATGTGTTTCACGAAGACAAATTAATTTCCTTCTTTCTGTGTTCAATGCCCATTGTCCAATGACCACCATCTGGTGATGGTGGGTATTATGTAGATCCCAAGAAAAAATGTTTTTTGGACTACTCAGTCCTAAGTGCAGTAAACTCTAAGCAGATTATGAGCATATTAGACAAGCAAACCTCAAATGGACCTATTGCTTGGTAAAAAAAAAAATCCCACTTTCTGGTCTTTAGGCTAACAACCTAAAAACCTGACCTTTCCACCTTCTAACTGAAGGTGGCCCAGATCAAGGCTTGCTGAGGCGGAAAGAGGGGAGATGCTTTGAATCAAAGAAAATATTGAAGTTTTAACAATAGTAGTTAAAATGACTCTCAACTACTGGACAAGGGAATAGAAAAGCTACCACACCTACTCAGGACAGGAAAAACTCATCTAGAGGGTAGATTTAAAAGGACAGTGAGACAGGGGCCGGCCAAGAGGCTCAGTTGGTTAAGAGCTCGCTCAAGAGTGCAAGCTCTGGGGCTGGCCGAGTGGCGCGATGGTTAAGAACTGGCTTGGGACGCCAGAGGGCCCCGGTTCGGATCCCACATATGAGGGCCAGTGACACTGCCCTCTACAGCTAAGATGCTGAACAACAGCTCAACCTGGAGCTGGGCAGCCGTTTGAGTCGCCGGCGACGGCAGAGGCTGCAGTCCCTGTGGCAGTGGGTTGCCATGGGCTACCAGCCAGCGTGAGCGGCCAGCAGCTGCAATGAGCGGCCGTCCAGAAGCCGGCGACTGATCTGCCTCGCCCGGGAACAGCGCAATGATGGTGCCAACTTGGGCCAGTGAAGCAACGTCCTCCACAACTAGACTGAAGAACAAAAATGACAGCAACTTGTCTGTTCCCCTTCCCCCAATTCCCCAGCACTGTTCCCATCCCCCCCAATTCCCCAATAAAAATCTTTAAAAAAAAAAAAAAAAAAAAGAGTGCAAGCTCTGAGCAACAGGATCGCCAGTTCAATTCCCGGCCCAAGCTGAGCAGCTGCTGAGCTGCCAACAGGTGGCAGGATGGCTCACAGCTAAAAAAAAAAAAAAAAGGCAGTGAGAGAATAAACTTGCTCTCTGCTTAAAATTCCTAAGTCCAGCCATTTTAATGACCAATGATGGCAGGCAAAGGAACTTCCATGAAAAGCAGATAAAACTCAGAGAAAAACATTTCAGATCTTGGACAGATATCAACTGTGATATAAACACAAACAATTGAAACCCTGGCTCCAAACAGATTGGCTTTCTCAATGTCACAGCTCTCAAATGACAGGTAAGGTTAACTACTAAAAAAATTAAGTAGTTCTATGTTTCTCAAAACCTTAGCAAAATGTGTGTTACCCAAAAGGCAAAGTGGGAGTGACACACACTTTATCTTATCTCTAATCTTGTTTTTTCAAATGCATTTTCACCTTTTTTTCAGTGGAGACCAAATGGCCAGCAGCTTTACTGTTGGCTAGGGCTAGGCAGGGGAAAATAGAGTTTGGAAAACAGCAACTGATATGTGAGACCAAATCCAAGTGAAGGAACACTGGATTCAATTCTGAAACCCTCACTCTACACTCAGACAAGAAAGGAACATAATGATAAGGGACCCCAAGCAGCTATCAGGAGCTTTCTCTACTTTGTGGAGGGACAACTTTTAAGTTACATGCAATATTTCATTGGACTTTGGAGAGAAGTGGTTTAGAATTTATCTACTGACACACAGACCTAAACAAAAATGTCATAATGATTAAATCTAAATATTTGATATTTTGAAAATAACCATTCCTAAAATGGATGCAACCACCTTTTTATCTTAAACAAAATTGTACAAATTCACTCACAGGGAAGCCATGTAAATTGACAAGAATATAAGATATGCAGATTGGTGAAAATTAGGAATTTTTAGTTGCACTCTAAAGTCTTGTGTAGATCCACTGATTCAAAATTGTCAGTGAAAATGAAAATGAGGTCTTACCCTCATTGTCTCAGGGTAAAGAGTTCTTTAAACTTCTACTAAAATAAACAAAATTTCAGGGGTCTGATTACAAGTAATACATACATATTATTGGAAATTTAGAAAATAAAATTGTATGAAATATCAACATCTAGAAATAGCCACAATTAACTTGTTCAAAAATATCCTCCTTAATATTGTATGTCAATTATAATTGAATACATATATAGTCATGGGATGTGGAGTATAGTGTGGGGAGTGGAGTCAATGGAATTTTAATAGATATGTATGATATGGGGGGGAAGTGGGGCAGCTGATTGTGGTAGGGGGGTTGTCACTTTTTGAGGGGTAAAAAGTATAACTATTGCACTGTTTTGTACACCTGAAACTAATAAAAATATATATATATATATATCCTCCTAGGATATTCTCTTTGCATATGTTACTATTTAAATAATACTTTTTTATTACAGAAGTTGAACATGTTTACTATTTTGAATACACCAAATACAATTGAAAAACACAAAAAATATATAAACATCACCAGTGACTAAATATAACTGTTGCATATATTTTTATGAAGTGAAATGCCATTGATGTTTCTATATATCTGTATCTATGTCTCTATATGTAGAAAGATAAATATGTATAAATAAGGACTTATAGATACATAGAAAATATTCTCACAAATATATATGTTTATACATGTTTTATTACCACATGTGTGTGTGCGCACACACACAGTCTGCTTTCTTCATTTAACCTTCTTTGGAACATCTTTCTAAATGAATAAAAATTTCTCGACCCAGAAAAGAAGCCACACACTGAGGGCGGCAGTGCTTCTCTATTAGCCCTGGATCTCTTAGTTCTGGACAATTACGAGAATGAGAAATGAACCATTCCGTTGAAGCCACTGCATTTTTTAGCCCCTTCGTTACAGTCCCTGAGCCTCTATCCCAGCTGACATAGCCGCTGGGAAACTGTCATGGCCCTCAGGAGACTATAGGCCACAAGGATACAATGAGCAGCGCCATGATAAACTCAGCCGGTGTGACGGCTTCACTTTGCCTGCTTACGTTTTCGATATATGTTTCTCGGCCACTTCCTTTTATTTCTTGGCCAGGAATACCCTTTCTTTCTTCTTTAAAAAAAAAAAAAAAAGGTTAATCATTCAGTTCTGTGAATATACTTCTCAAAGCTCATAGGTCAGTGGTGAGTAAGTATTTTTTTCAACATTTGAACCACAAAAATGGGGCAAATTCCAGTATAACAGGGTGAGGTTAATTGCAGAATTACTTTTTA